AAAAAAATTATTTCTTTTTGTAAAACAGAAAAGAAGTCCCAACTTTACTAGTCTACAATTCCTTTTAAATCTGACTGTCATTAGCGATGGATTTTCAGTGACTTGATGCGTATCTATCTCAATGAGAGAATGAAATATGGTTATTGAGGGAAAAGCCAAGGGCGATAGAAGGAGATATCACACTTTTACACGTCTATCAACCCACGGGGGCTTGTCAACTGATGGCGAATTCGCTAGTGTGAGCACGAAGTGTATCAACTCATACCACGTACCTTGCCTACACTTCAGATCGTTGTTATCCAGTCTGTCCTTCACAGCATGTACAATCTTGGCACCGAGTGGAGCAGCCCCGCTAAGTATCTCTTTTAAACTGCTCAGGTCATAGTTATCCACTGACGGGTGCTTGGCGAGGAATAGTACAATCGGTGGAACTATAGGTGCGCATGTGATCTAGAAAAAAACACGTACACAATTATATCGAGTGAAACACGGTTACTAGAAGAGTAACTAGTAACTGTGATTGAAATAAGTGGTAACACTACATTTCTTACAAATAGCGCCCTCTAGTGATGAAGCGCTGATACACTAGTCTAATTCCTTTGCTGGTTCCCGGCGTCCTTTGCGAATGGCAGGTAGGACGCAGGTAACTAGTAATCGCCATATTGTTCCATTTGGGCCGGTTTTCCGGCCGGAAGGAACGCGACTGGGTGACGTAATTTGAAAACATTCCAAGTTCCGTTTTGCGTAAACGTGTCTGTAATGCTACAATAAAGCCATGCCCATACATACTGCCTGCTTAGATTTACAGATTTGATATGTTCTGTGCAAATTTATAACAAAAGAAACAATTCTTTTTATTCGCCCAACTTTCGAAAGCAAAAGAAAACCCCTGAACGGCCACGAGCGTAAGCGTTGACGTCAGGTAACTAAGGGAAATGGAACAAGCAACGAGAAAGTGATGTACCAATCAGAATGCCAGAACCGTTACTAGTTACCGGCCTCTTGTGGCTTGGTACGCCATGACACTTGAGGCGGGAACCAGCCAAGTCTAATCCCCTGCCCCAATTTCAACGTTGAGGGCGGTTAAGAAAATATTTCCTTAACCCCCCTCAGCGTTGAAATTGGGCCAGGGGCGCACAAGCGTTTCCTTGCTGGAGGATGTGGCGTCCAGGTAAGGGATATTGAAACTTTCTTTTATTAATGTCAAATTCGTGAAGTGTCTCAGTAACCATACTACCACCAATGGAACTGTCACCAGTTGAAAATGATAGAAATGTCTGATATTTGTAATTAGTCATTGTTTTAACATGCAAATTTGCATGTCGGAATGTTAAAACGGGGGAGTCGTCACCTGCGCATGCGTCAGATGGCCATCGCGTGTCATTGTTTACAAACAAGCGTCTACCCATAAGCCTTTACGTTTTCAGAGTGTGTTGTTATCGTTGCTTGGGACTCAATTTCCGCGCGTGCGCAGGTGACGACCCTCCCGCTTCAATGTGCTATGGGAGGCATCACTGAATTTTAGTTTGATTAAAATACTGTATTTATTGAGCCGAAATAATACACCCTCGCTGCGCATATGAATTTATTGTATAACAAACAAACTTTGTAATCTTGGATGATTCTAAGGAACTCTTCCGGTTCAAACTTCGGCAAAGTCACGTGCTTGACTCCTTGCCATAAACCACTCTGTAACATAGTCATCCCATAGATGTGGAAATAAGGCGGAAGTCCCAGCAGGCAATCGACGTCCGGTTTGTATTTGAAGAGGCCAGGGTAGCTAGGAAGAACAACAATTATATTACACAATGAAAACACTTAGTTGCATCAAACAATGTTTAAAAGAACACAACTGGCTGAAGTGCCAGTAACAGAAACTATCGATCTTGTTTCTCTCCGATGTTATTTTTAATAAAACATTTTCTGTGTCATTAGTGTTAACATCGTCTAATGTTGGACACTAAAAGCAATATGCCGACGACACGTTGTACATTAAATCACTTGCAAGAAGAAAAAGTTGGCCGCGGGGTTGCGCCCGTGTGTCCGTCTACTATTTAAATCCAAGTTTGGCAAGTGAACTTTAGGGATTACGGTACAAGGTATGACAACTTCATCAAGTGCTCGAGGCGAACTGACAATTACGTTCTCGCCATGTGGCCGATAACAACAAAATTACAACTACTCGATCCTTAGTTTTCATGTCGCATTTCACGTGCATCATCCTTGTGCAGGGTCACTTTGTCCATGCAATTGCCTTAAACAATATTTCGGTAAAATTGGTCATTTTATGTGGTTACATTTAAACAAAAACCCATATAAATGAGAATTTGTGATACCGAAAGGACCGTGGCGACATGCAGACAGCACCTACTCAGCTGGAACATGACTATATTGTATATGCCGTGGTTAAACCCTTCCTGACATTTTTTTAAATACAGAGAATATACCACTTCACAGAGTGCTTTTTAAACATTTTCGTCCAGTTCATTCATCGATCATGCGTATGACTTGAACCAACCTTTTAGTATTTTTATGTGTAGATTATATTGTGGATAATTATGAATATTGAAATTGCTGAGCTTAAAAGTGTGAAACCGGGTTCCTACTTACCTTAATTGTGTAATGTTAGATATTAAATTATAATGTGACAGCATCACCCCTTTCGGCTCTCCGGTAGTTCCACTGGAGTATGGCAAAACCACTAAATCCTCCATTGGATTTATGCTAATGTTGCTAGGAAACGCCGATCCATCATCCTCCATCAGTTTTGTAAAAGGTATACAACCATCAGTGGCTTCGGTACCAAATACATAAATAGCCTTTTCAGTGAAAAGAAGTAAGTTATTAATTTTCTATCAAAAGATAGCACATACACCCTCCCGTACCCATCATGGATTAATAGTATGTCACAACTTATATAGTAAATGTTTGCATTACTACGTATGCCCTTATATGCATTGACTCCTGACGGCGTCCTGGCAAATATCGCCCAAAGAGTGCCGGGAGTTTGTTCGAAACTTTGAACGTTTCGAAATCAATCGTCGGTCGGCACGTGTTTTACGGATATAGTAAATCGTTTCATGATTTTTTTTTACTGAAACATGATAAATGAAACATTTTTTTACTGAAATGTGTGATTAAAAAGCAACTTAAATTGTAAAAAGAAGTACATGTATCACGTATTCAAAAAGACCTATGCATAAGACTCATTTGCATATTCGACTCCTCGTATATTCGAACCGGGTCGTAAAAGTCGTATCTAGTCCATAAATATGCTACATTAGATTGGTTAGTGTTTGTCGTCTCATATAATCGACATGCCATATAAGGATACCACCGCACCCACCACAACACCCCATCCCACACCACACCCACCACACCCCGTGTACAAATACTAGTAGTGTATACCTTAATGTTACTACACTTCTCAGCAGCTTCTCTGGCTTTGTCGGCAAACTGTGGTATGGTTATGATGCATTTGGATTCTGAATCGTTCAGCTGGTTTGCCAGTTCATCTAACCAGTAATGATAGGAATAGATAGTTTGTAGTTAAACTCCAGCCTTATGATATGTATAATGCAACTAAGCACATTAATTAGGACAACGATTACCAAATATTATATTATTCTTTATGGATGGGATACGGCTTTTGTGGTCCGAGATCGTATATCGGAAGCGCCCGGGCTTGCGTTAGTCGTACGATCGATGGCCACAAAAGCTGTATGTTTTATCATATACCTTATAGGGTAATTTGTTTTTTTTAAATGCTTATTGTTTTGAGCTACTAGTACTTTATTTATTTCGGTTATTTCTACCATTTATTCAAAAGTTTACAGTGCGAATTGATATTCCTTTGCATGAAGTCGCAACTGTACAGTCTTATCCTGTCTAGTTTGCAAATACGTTTTTACACGGAAATCGACAGCGCGCTATGTGACAATACATAACGCGCTGTGCGACGATGTAGCGCTTTAAAGGGCGGCTGTCGTCGCGTCGCGTCCTGTTCGATATGGGACTCATAGCGACGTATACAACGCGTGTAAAATACATTATTAATTTACATGAAATTCGAACACGCTCTGCGCGACGACCACCACGCTTTAAAGGTAGTTGATGTACGTTCGGTACGTTGTAAAAGTCGCAGCTATATGGTACTTGATGTATGACGTATACTGTTGAAATTCATAAACATAAACTGCACGGCGAATTAAATACACTTACCCACAGTATACAATGGATTGACAGTTGTATTTATGGCACCAATGGAAGCCACTGCGTTGAAGGCAATGAAGAATTCTGGGATATTTGGTGAAAATATTGCACATACGTCACCTTGACGAAAACCATCACGTGATAGCCCACTGGCACTGTTATGAATGGCATTTTTAAGTTGTTTGAATGTGTAGGAGCGGTCAGTGAAACCATTTACCTGTAATGTATGTGTGAAGGAATGAATGAATGAACGAACAAACAAACACAAATATATGACTGACTGAATAAATAAATAAATAAGCGAGCGATTGCAAGATAAATCCTTTGCTAGATTTTAGAAACTTAAATCATCTTGTGTTTTTGGAGGTTGGGCATAAATATAAAGTTTGTTGCGAAATCCATAATGCTACAAAGTTTTATAAATGTGTACTCACCAGTGCCACGGCATCACCCCGTTTATCAAAGTCGGCTAATACGAACTGTGGCAAAGACAGGTTTGTTGGAATGTCGAAATCCGGGTATTTACTTTTTAAAATACCAACTGTAAGAATAATAAACGAGTATAGGAAGATATATAATGGCCATTTATTGAAGCGGGAGGGTCGTCACCTGCGCACGCGTGGGAATTGAGTCCCAAGCGACGATAACAACACACGCTAAAACGCAAAGGTATACGCTTGTTTGTAAACAATGACACGCTATGGTCATCTGACGCATGCGCAGGTGACGACTCCCACCGCTTTAAAACAGGTTTTTAAATGGTTTTACCGTTCGGAATGATATGGAAAAGTAAATAGTTAAGCGAATTTTATGTTTGAATTAGGTACTTGCACGAGAAAACTGCAAAAATATTGAAAATATTCATTGCATAGTATGATACGGCAGAACTAAATAATATGCACACATGTCATCCTGGTAAATTTTCATCATCATCGAATTATACACAAGGAATCAAAGAAGTATGTACTAATGTGAAATAGACGGACAGTTCGTTCGACACATTTAATTGTCACATACTTGAACCCAAAATGTCAACCATGTAGGAATATATATTGAAACCAATTTGATATAAATCTTATTAACATTTTCCATGAATTCAGCCATAAACAACTACAACAATATATTGAAATATGATGTTATATTGTCGATAAACATTGTGAAATATGGAATGATCGTGTTGCCAGTGGTGAATTGGACAGAACTCATAGTTTTATGGATGTTTGACTAGGTTTATCAGAATATTGTGAACAGCAGTATAAAATAAACCATATTAAATCGACATGCCATTTTAGCGAATGTGTCTCAATACAGAATCTTAATTTAGCTAAAGTACCGACCAACAATCCCATTGTGAGAATATTTGTTTTATTTTAAATAATTTTGAATTAGCAAAATTACCTAAAATAACATGCTAGTAAAAAAGACATGTTTAACATTATAATGGAGTTAAATCTGTTTTAATGGTAGATAAAGTTGACATCTCTTTACCTGAAGACGTTATCGCCGTTTTACTGAAACCTCTTGACGACGTACATTTCATAAAGAGTTTATTATTTTTCGTTCTGGTGTGGCTATAAGATTGAGATCCAAGTATTCTTCCCGGATATGACGTCACACCCCGAGAGCACACTGGCCAACAACGCCGTAAAACCAGCGCCATCTATCTACCAAAGATAAGATAAAAATAAAAAAGAACACAATTATCATGCATCAATCCTCCACAGAGGGAATGTGCTCTACTATTAGAGCGTTCACGCACAGCTCCATAGCACGGGCTAAGAGGTCAAATACCCCGTACTAAGAAAACGTGCATGAACGCTTAGCACGGGAAAAGAAACGCCAAGTACGTATTAAATCTGGCCCGTTTTTATAATCCGGCCTAGATCCTTAGCACGGGCTAACGAAGTGTGCGTGAACGCTCATCGTTGGAATCGCACGGTTTCGCTAAAGCCGGCCCAAGGAAATCTGGTGAAATCTGCCAAGGATTAATGTTGAGGCTTCGGCCGAATAAATGGTTCTTGGCTGGCGAAGATGGTGAACGCTTAGCACGGCTAAGTACCCAAAACGCCATTGTATTCAACGTTCATTTGGAAGATTTACTATTATATTCTGCATCGTAACCGTATACCTTCCTAGTTACTGTACTGAGTATAGTAATCAAAGTTAGAATGAACAGGAAGCTGTAATGAATGAATATTTTTGTATATTTTGAAAGTTTGGACGTTCGTTGGGCTCGTACTTTATAATAATATTTATTAAGCCTTAAGAAAAGAAAAAAGAAAAGGAAAAATCATACATATCTGAAACTGAATAAAAATAAAATTGACAATACATCTCATGGTGAATTCATACTACTTTCATTTCTGTATTTCCAAAGATGTTTAAGAACTTTTTTAACCACTGCTTCCTCCTGTGCATGAAATCAAGTGAGTGTATCTGATACGCAAACATATGAGATTAAATTAAATCTTAGTCCGCACTTATTACGTCTAGCATTTCCCTGTCACAATAGTGGTGTTCACGCTACAGAAAGTACGGGCTACGATTTAAGCTGATTTAGGTTTTTCTCACATGTTTGCATTTCGACTAGACCCAATTGTGTCCACGCACTGGGAGGGCCAGTCCTTGGCACGGGCTAGGGGCGCCATCAGTCGGTGACGTTTGTTAAGCCGCTGTTTGAAGTAACTTTGATTTATGGCGTGATGAAGTATGCTCTGTGTTTGCAAACAGCTACAGTCGTAAACCAGCATTACTCTCAGCAAAACAAAGGCATTCCCTTCATATTCATATTCTGTATACCATTGGCAGTACACCGTTCCCAGAGGTGGGGCGAGATCTGCTTACCAACCTTGCGTCGAAGACCTTACTAGGGGGTCCGGGGCATGCTCCCATTTTGAAATATAGACCCTCTGAAACGCTATTTCCTGCATTTTGAGGGACAAATTTTGATGACACGAAGGGTTTCAGCTTGATTTTAGAGCCCCCCACATTTTTTTGGAAGGGGCGACCTCACCATCTGCCCCCGTGCCGCCGCCACTGGGCAAAGGGCAATGTCGACACTGAAACCGAAAGAGACCCGGAGTCTAGCACAGGGACTCTTCGACCATGGAGCTATTTTTTAGCTCCATGCTTCGACGTATATCAATACAGAGTTACCGGATCTGAATGGGTGTATTATTTAGTATTATACGAAACATTGACATTTCACACGAACTTTTCGTTTCGATCATTGTTCTACAAATGGTCCTCAGACGTTTGATTCAAGGTGACCGTGCATTCAGATGTAGAGCATACAGTGACGTCAATCCACCGGCCACGTCATAGTATAATAGTCGCTATGGTAACCATATGTCTGCACGCCGGGTTATTTTAAGCATGGAAGGTAGTAACGGAAGGAGTCACGACGCCTATCAAGTGGCCACTTAAGCCTCTTAAAACTGGTTATTTCTTTTTGTTTCAACCCAAAGTAATCCTGATAAGGACATTGTCTAGCTCAACTTTGATGTCGATGATAGTTTGCGATTGTTTACACAAGTAACGAGTTAGCGGAGTATGATATAACCTCGCCGATTTTTAATGTGACCATAAAATACTAGTATTATGAAACTACGGTCATCACACATGCGCACTGGGTTTGTTTAGGTGTGAAGGGTCAAAATACGTATTTCACGACTGGAAATTAAACAGATGAACGTTTGACTTCACAAATTTCACTTGTTTTAATTATTAGCGACTGTTAATATTATCACAGAGAAAGTGTCTAGGCATGCTCTTCTTTCGATACTATCTTTTCTGTTGGTGTTCGCCGATGTCCGGTTGTCAAAAATGTTGACAGTTTCGGGCGCCAAACCTACGCACTGACAATTGTACCATTGAATAATGCAATCGACACAAGTAATCATTGATTAAGTCTCATTACCATTACAAATACAACATTCACGATATTTCATCAGCTCTTCTTCAATCAATGTTATATCTGACACATTTTTATTAAAGTTCGCCAAGATCTCCGGAAACAACAGCATTCAAACTAGACGTTATTTTCAACATTCTACATGCGAGGTTCGACTATCGCTTCCGAACATGCTCCGAATATTACCGAATGCTCGTGATTAGCGTAAGCCATTGTACGAAGGTGCTAAAAGCTAACAAGAACAATGTTGGTGAACAAACATTGACAAACGATCATGGGGTAAAGCTAAAACAATAGCGTCGTGGCTCCTTCCGTTAGTACCTTCCATGTTTTAAGGTTCCACATTTTGGTGTATCAGAACATGGCGGTAAAATTATCTCCATGATCAGAAAAATATTTGTTGGTGTATCACGACCGTAAACAGAGACCGTGGAATCCAAGCCCATGGAATGCTGTGTATTGTGGCAAACGAATAGGAATGTTGAACACATGGTAGAACCACAGTATATAGTAACCATTGACTTAGGGGGCTACGTGCAGCTTGTTTTGGCATCCTGGTGCTATTGGGATATTGTTGCTTTATAATAGCAAAATATTCCAATACTAGTAACACACGTGACAGTGACGGGGGAGGGGGGTAGAAATGCTAATGATAGTGAGTCTACCCCCCTGAAAGTATCGGGAGGTGTGATTTTCTGAGAGGCCATGTCTAGTGCTTTGGCAATCAAACTCGGTCGACACAAAATTCTAAGGAAAGCATACGAAAAAGCTGTTTCTTTCATAAATTGTAGCTGGTGTTAGAGGTCTATATAAATATAAGTTCCCGCTGTTGCAGGCCAGGGAGTGACAATCTACGCATATTACCGGTAGTGCATGCAACGAATACAAAATAACTGTTTATTATTAGTACGAATACAATCCTTCAACCTTATTTTAATACGGTCCCAGTAAACACAGCCCAGTACTACCGGGAACTACCGGTGTCATTCTCGCATCTCCCGGTAGGTCAATTCGCGCATGTAGTGGGACCCCAATAATAGAGTGACTGTGGTACAAATAATATCGTACAACTCGACACGAGACCACCAGAACTACTCGCCAGATCTTAGTTAGCAGTGAAACTATGTGTACATGCTTAAATATTTAAACTGTTAGAAGTAATATCTACTAGTATGCACTATTACAGTCACAGACAGACTATTGCCGGTATTGCCGGGTATCTCTTGGTTGGAACACAATTCCTCGGGATTGTGGTTGGAAGGAAGCCGACCGCAAAGTTCAAGTGAAAGGGTGTAGGTTACAGGGCAGCAGTAACCTTGAAAGTTGTAATATCTCCCAAGGTCTTTATTACGTAAAACCATGGTAAAACGTATTCATATCCAATCAAGCGAGGTAATCGTTTGACAACAAGGTAGATACACGTCAGAACCACAGTGCACGTAACTAAAAACCATTTTTTAAAGTTCGGTTCACATTGCAAAACGATATTGTAACGCAACGACAAGCGGCGATCATTAAAACAATCTATTTCCGCCATTTGGTATATAGTTAATAGCATGGAACTGTAGGTCAGTGGTGACATTGTTCCTTTTACAGAGGGACTGTGGATTCAAAACACGGACAGTAACGGAAACAACCGCAGCAGCTGCATAAGCCGCCCAGTGTCGCCATAGAAAGTAATCGAGCAATTATTCCGCATTGCGCACGTACGTATAATATCGACTTACCTAGTAAATACAGTCGGCCGGATGTCTTAGCTCCAGAAAAGAAATGTCGACAATCAATACAACGAAATAGTGCAGAGTACAGTGGTACAGCGACAGTGTTTTCATTCACAACCCATTCACAGCCCACCATCACGTGACGTGTTATATCCACCAATTACCTTAATCTTCCTACCATATTACACAGTGGCGTATTATCGATCGATAGCGCGAGGAATGCGTGAAGGGTCGCCATATACGTTTATATTGCTGTTAATGCTACGTAGGCTTGAAGGGATCGACATACCTTGGGTGAATGTGCCACAGATACGAAGTGGGGAGGTCAGACCCATGACTAATACAAACAGCCATAAATTACAGGGATATATTTCCTGTTATGTTTAATTACGTGATACGCCTCAACTTGCTGAGGGCGATACAAACCATATTTACACGATGGAGGTAATTACCTCCATGTTTACACGATGCGTAAAACTGTAATTGTTGGTGATCCTATTAATTAGGAAAATTACAGCGGCCAAGTCAGCTGGCGCAGATGTCGCATCGATTAGTGGTGGTATATTTCCTGACATCCGATGCACAATTAATTGCAAAACTCCAAGGAATAAAAGAGTGTGCAAATACTGGGATAAAAAGCAGATTGAAGATGAGGTACATTTCCTTATGGACTGCAGTCTGTACAATGAACACAGAATTGAATTATTCAACTACTGTAAGGAAATTTTACAAAATTTTAGCAAATTAAAATTAATAAGTAGTAAGTAATTAATTATGGAAAATTGTACAGGAATCAGAAATGCACAATATATTCAAAAATGTATGCGAATGAGATATGAGCAGCTCCACCAAAAATAAAACTATTCTTTCCGCCAGAATTATGATTTTAATGTGATTTTTCACTTCTTAGCGTGTAGTTAGTGTATTGTATTGTACTGTACCGTATAAGTATATTGTGATTCTATATGTGTTTGTCTGTAATATTATTTAGCTTTATTGTATTTTATTTTTATACGAACATAGAACAACTCACACTTGTTTTAGTGTTGAATAAATATTATTATTAATAATAATTAATGACATGCTTGATTGTGTTATTAAAGTGACTACCGGCAAGGAAATTATTCAAATTTCACCGTGACATTTATGAACTAGTTTACGTAATAACTTTAACATTGATGATAATGAATGTGGGACAGTCGTTACAAAGTTGGTCTAGAACTAACATATGTCAATTGTCTTCCAGTGTTGACTCTGTCGTTTGTGTTTGATTTAAATTAAAATATAAATTGCTTGAAGTTGATAACAATTAATTGTTCGTTGAGTATGGCTAATAATGTTAGCCAGTGTTGCAGAATGTCAATTTAGGATTTGTCTAAAAAAGTATTGACATTATTGTTCATGGCCTTGTTGGATTCCGGTTATATTATTGTCTGCAAAACAAACAAAACCTCAAATAGTACAGAATTCTGTAGCTGTACAAGTCAGTGGTTACAGATAATATGAGCATATTGAGTCACATTGGATGAGTTTAAGATTATGTCTGTTATCAAGGCGACATAAAACCAGGTACCTGAGTATATAGTATCTAGGAGGCGGCGCGACAACCACTGTCCTTCAGTTTAACTACCTATGCGGACAATCTATTGGTTGTTTGTGCACCACGTTTATGGAATGTGATGCCCAATCATGTTGGAACCAGTTTCTTTATTTAAGACTAATTTAAAAACGTATTTATTCAAGTAGGCATATAGTTTGTATATATTTGTTTATTTGCCCTGTTTACATTTATTCATTTAGATTTCTGTTATTAGTAGTGCATAGTGTAGTATTCTGTATTGTAGAGGTCGTGACCTTTGTTGACCTTTGCCCCCTCTACCCATGGTGCATTGTACCCTATATTTATTTATTTATTTATTAACACCCCCCCCTGAGGGGATGAAAAGGGTTACAAATCAAATATTAGTAAAAGAAAAATAACTACATAAAAAGTAAGGGAACAAAAAAGCATTTAAAAAAAAAGAAAGATAAATTTGTATACGAGGAATGTGTTACTGGCTTAGTTTATTTAGGTGCTGCTGTCTTGTATTAAAACAGTTTTTTAAATATTGTGCTAAAGGAATTGACATTTTCTCGTTACTTAGTAATGATATGAATTTATTTTCATTACTAAATTTGTAAAAATTTGGTATACATTTATTAGCTACAATGTAAAGTTTTGATCTTATTTCATTGTAATGAGGACAATTTATGACAAAATGTTGTTCATCTTCAACATGGTCATTGTCGCACATATTGCAGACTCTGTCTTTAAAATCCAAACCTATATGCCGGCCTGTTTCAATTTTCAGACAGTGGTTGCCAAGTCTAAATTTT